ATACAGCTCGTATTGAAGAAGCGATCGAGCGGAACCAAGGCTCCAAAGTCTTTGCCAGAGATCTGTCTGCCAGAAAGAGCCAACTGTCAAAGCTGAAGACAGAATGTGGCAGCATCGTTTCCGGGACACCTGAGATTTTGAGTGAGATTGAGAGGTTCTATGGGCAGTTGTACACGTCATCGTTGGAGCCACACGCAAGTGTGAGTAACAATCCAAGAGCGAGTCTCATCCGACACTATTCCGAAGATATCCTGGACGTCAGTCTGAGCGAGATTAGAATGGCTCTCCAGCACTTTAAAAACGGTAAGGCCCCAGGCGAGGATGGAATTACAGCGGAGCTTCTGAAAGCGGGTGGAAAACCGGTACTTGAAGTCCTTCAGAAGCTCTTTAATTCCGTCCTCCATGGTGGCATTACACCGGACGCGTGGAGCAGAAGTGCGGTGGTCTTGTTCTTCAAGAAAGGCGACAACGCTCTCTTGAAGAACTACAGACCGATTTCCCTTCTGAGCCGCGTCTACGTGCTGTTTTCGAGAGTCATTACGAATCGTCTCGCGCGCAGACTTGACGACTTCCAGCCTCCCGAACAAGCCGGTTTCCGAAAGGGCTTTAGCACCATAGACCACATACATACCCTTCGGCAAATTGTACAGAAGTCCGAAGAGTACAATTTGCCACTATGTCTGGCGTATGTGGACTTTGAGAAAGCCTTTGATTCCGTCGAAATTTGGGCGGTGCTGCAGTCCCTTCAGCGGTGCCAAGTTGACTGTCGGTATATCGAAGTGTTGAAGTGCTTGTACAGTAGGGCTACGATGGCTATCCGAGTACAGAACTAGAGTACGAAACCTATCCAATTGCAGAGAGGTGTAAGACAGGGTGACGTCATATCCCCGAATCTCTTCACCGCTGCATTGGAAGACGTTTTCAAGCTTCTGGACTGGAAAGGATACGGTATCAACATCAATGGCGAGTACATCACTCACCTTCGATTTGCCGACGATATAGTCCTTATGGCAAAATCGCTGGAGGACCTAAGCACTATGCTCAATGACCTCAATAGTGTTTCCCAACGGATAGGTCTTAAGATGAACATGGACAAAACTACGATCATGTTTAATGTCCATGTCACACCTATGCCGGTAGTTGTTGGGAACACTAAGCTCGAAGTTGTTGACGAGTATAATAATAATAATAATAATAATATTCCACAACTATCAAACAACGCCATCTAGTTCCAAGCTAAGCAGAGCTTGTGTTATGGGTACTAGACAACTGATAAACATACTTATATATTTCTAAATACATAAATATTATAGATAAATTACACCCAGACACAGAACAAATGATCGTGCTCATCACACAAACATTTGCCCTGGGTGGGAATCGAACCCACGACCTCCGGCGTAGCAGTCAGGGTCACTAACCACTAGACCAACAGGCCAGTATGTTTACCTGGGACAAATAGTCCGACTAGGTAAGTCCAACTTCGACCGAGAGGTCAATCGACGGATTCAACTCGGTTGGGCAGCGTTCGGGAAATTACGGCACATCTTCTCGTCAGGTATACCTCAAACCTTGAAAACGAGACTGTACACCCAGTGCGTGTTTCCAGTGATGACATACGGAACTGAGACGTGGTCCTTCACTGCTGGCCGGATGAGAAAACTCAAGGTCGCTCAGCGAGCTATGGAAAGGGCTATGCTCGGAGTTTCTCTGCGTGATAAACTTAGGAATGAGGATATCCGCAGTAGAACTAGAGTAACCGACATAGCCTAACGGATTAGTAAGCTGAAGTGGCAATGGGCCGGCCAAATAGCTCGAAGAACCGACAACCGATGGGGAAGAAAGGTTCTCGAGTGGCAGCCTCGTACCGGTAGGCGAAGTGTAGGGCGTCCCCCCACGAGATGGAGTGACGACCTGGTAAGACATGCAGGAAGTCGATGGATGCAGGTGGCTCAGGACCGTGCTTTGTGGCATTCTTTGGGGGAGGCCTATGTTCAGCAGTGGACTTGTGAAGGGCTGTAATGATGATGATGATGATGAAATCATATTAATTCAAATTAAATCAAATCAAATCAAAATAAAATTAGACTAAATTAAATTCTAATTTGTCATGTACCTAAGAGGCACTCCGTGCGATCGACACCTAGAAATATTACCATCCACTGTATGAGTCATCGTTCCCACGAAATGCCTCACAATAGGCGCATGTGGATCATCTGCCACCGTTCTCAGGATGCTATTGTCACTTCTCCGTATCCTTCCTATCAGCGACGCTACCTTTTTCCGAACTACGGCATGAAAACCATCAGTTCTGGTCTGTGCAAACATGCCAGAGGCACTACAGAAGTGCGAACATTATCCTGAAAACAGTTATTGTACTGGACTCGCAGGGTGTTTAACGATTTTTTGGCATACCTAATCCACAGACCACCCTTAAAAAGACCCTGACAATACGCTTTTAATAATGTTATTTTGACCTGGTCCGAACAGCGGGCAAATCTACGAGCCAGCATATTGCCGCGTACCGCCAAAGCCCTACGCTCCCTTTATATGTCTTTAAGCTCGTCGAAGTGCAACTTGACGCGTCCCACCGGCGCGGCGTAGTAATGAAAATGAGCCTCGCGCCAAATGTCTCTTGGGGGCATGAATTAGTATTTGCATGGCTACAAAATAGCATATTATTGTACTTTAGCGGAGTGCTATTTAATTTAGCTGTTTTATTTTTTACAAAAAAAGAGTGATCATTTTTTTTTAAAACATATATCCATGGCCTTTATAGAACTGCTTGATTGTACGCAAAATTATTCGGCTATCGATCGTACTATCATTTTCGTAACTCGTATTAGATAGTTAGTTTATAAATTGATTTAATTAAAATACATAGGCTGCACTAAAAGTAACGGGAATGGAATATTTCCACTATTCCTGTCATATTAAAATCTTTTTAATTATAAACTCCTTGGTTTTAAAAATCGAATACCATTTATTTATTTAAAAAAAGATTCTCGGTCTTGTCACAAGGTCAAACTTGTTTAGTCGTTGAGAAAATGGAATTGACTCGAGAAAATTCAAGAGCGATGATTTATTATGACTTTCGAAGTGGTTTAACACAAAAACAGTGTGTTGACCGGATGATTTCTGCATTTGGTGATGAAGCCCCATTCAAAGCCACAATTTATCGCTTGTTTGCTGAATTTCAACGTGGACGTGTCAACCTCAGTGATGATCCCCGTCAAGGTCATCCAAAAACTGCAGTCACCCAAGAAAACGTTGATGCTGTGCGTAAGCTGATTGAGGAAGATCGACATGTGACATACCGCGAAATTCAGGCAACTTTAGACATTGGCATGAGTTAAATACAAATAATCTTGCATGAACAATTAGGTGTAAAAAAGTTGTTTTCCCGATGGATACCGCATTCGCTCTGTGAAGAGCAAAAAGTGGCTTGCGTTACTTGGTGCGTCAAAACTCTCGAAAGATTCCACGCAGGATCCTCAAATGCTGTATACAACATCGTATCAGGTGACGAATCCTGGATATACGCGTACGAACCCGAAAAAAACCAGTCACGAGTTTGGGTGTTCGAAAATGAGTTAATAAAGCCAATAAATCTGTTCGTTCACGGAGTGTTGCAAAAAAAATGGTGGCCACGTTTATCTCCAAAACCGGCCATGTTACGACTATTCCTCTTGAGAACGCTACTATTCGTTGCCCGACGGGATATCTCCCATCTGGTTTATACGTCATGGTATGCGACATCTATAGAGAACATTGGATCTTTCTGGATTTTTGTATAGCTCGTATGTTGACTTTTAATGTTGACTTAGAGTTATAAAGAAAGACTACGTATTTGATGTTTAATAAATAATATTTTTTTAAACATTTTTGAAATAATATTTGAATAATAATAATCAAGGATAAAATACTAACTTAAATACCATGTGGTTGAATGTATAATTGTTTGACACTATTTCTTGTTAAAATGGAAGTCACGTTGCTTCTATTATTGACTTTTTAGGTTTAGTTAATACAATTAGGCGTTATTTTGTAGACATTTAACCCGGCAAATGATCAGGAAGAAAGATTCTCAAGTGCCAGCAACGTACTGGCAAACGCAGTGTTGAGCAAGACCCACTAGATATGACAGGAACGACTTGATGAAACACGTGGACAGAAGAAGGATCTGGCTTGGTACCGTACTTTGTGGCAATGTCTGACGGATGAAGGCGCGCCTTGTGTCTTTGTTGCACCATACTTGAGAAGGAGAAGAGGGGGGAGAAGTCCTCTCTCAAGCAGGGGCTGCCATGGGGCGACCTGGGCTGTATACGAAAGCGTTCCCTTGGCCCTGATTATATGTGACGAAGGTGAAATACAACCATTTTGGTCGATGCGAGTCCGAAATAACCCGTCCTTGCGCCCGCGAGGCATAGACATTTCCCCATGTAAAAAATGTATAGCCCATAAGCTGTTGAAGTATATGAGGAAAAGAAGATGAATTCAAATTTACCACGTCCCACATAGTTTGTAAACCATTAAGTTAAGGTAAAGAAGGTAATAAAGTAGCAGTTAAACATATATAAATATGTGTTCTACTTAATATATTTTATTGTTATATCTACTTTTCTTGATAAGTGTGTAAACATATTGTTACGAGCTTGAGATTCGAGACAATTAAAAAGTGCCGATTGAATTACCAAAATTGACACTTTAATTACACAACACTAATTACAATCTAAAATCACACTAATAATAAAACACAGTTCGCCGTTATTTCGCTTCGAAGTATTCTCTTGTATCGCCAATTCAATACTGCCTCGGTCGTGGTCTATACCGGCCTAATATAGGGCCTCAGATAGTTTCCAGAATCTTCTACTGTAGCGACATCTAGAATGTTCGAGTACATATCGGTCCCGAAATTTCTGGAAGGATCTTGACTCTCCTAGTTCTGCTACTCGACACTAGAGGGCGCTAGTGTAACTAGTGTTGCCATGTACAAGACATTAATAGTGGCGCGCAACACTGCCCCCTCCTAAGACATGCTCGTCCCGAGCATTATTGGCCCCATAATAACGCGCCAGTCGATCCACATGGACGATCTTAGGAGTACCTCTGGCACCTTTCTGTATCCGGTAGGTTACGTCATTGATCCTTGTCGCAATCCGGTACGGTCCGTCCCATTTAGCTTGAAGCTTAGGAGATTTCCCTTCGCTGCGAGCTGGATTGTGTAACCACACTAATGAACCTTCGTCAAACACTTTGTTGTGTATTTTCATCTTCTCAGACGTTTGCTGACCCGACTGTCTGATGTGCTCATAAATGTCATTCATTTTGTTCCGCAAGTCATTTGCATAATCGGTTATACTGCGTGGGGCATCAGGAAGTATTCCGGTGATCAGGTCTGCAGGCAGCCGTAATTCTCTCCCAAAGTTTGCGAAAGCTGGCGTCACTGATGTACTTTCGTGAACAGCGCTTCGATATGACAACAAAAACGGTTGTATGTGCCTGTCCCAGTCTCGTTGCCGTTTTTCCACAACTTTTGCCAGGTACCTTTCCAATGACTGATTAAATCGTTCTACCATTCCATCAGATTGTGGGTGGTAAGAAGTTGTTCATGTTTTATGAGTACCCATAACTCTGCAAGATTCCTGGAATATTTGAGACTCGAAATTCCTTCCTTGATCGCTGTGAATCCCTAAAGGTACTCCGAAACGACTGAAGACTTCATGAACTAGTTTATCTGCAACTGTTGAAGCTTCTTGATTTGGAATGGCGAAGACTTCTGGCCACTTAGTGAAGTAATCCATCACAACCCTGAAATACTTGTTACCACTTTCACTTTCCGGAAACGGCCCGCAACGTCAATGGCTATCCTCTCCCATGGTGCACCAGCATTGTACAATTTCAATGCGCCTCTACTACGAATTTGAGGTCCCTTTACAGCCGCACAACTTGTACATTTGCGGCACTAATCCTCGACATCGTCACGACAGTGGACCCAGTAAAACCGTTCTCGGATCTTCAGTAGAGTTCGTTTAACTCCCAAGTGGCCTCCTGAACAACCACTATGGTACAGCTGTAGAACATCCGGTACTTTAGCCTTAGGGACAACCATTTGCAAATGACAACTGTCTCCCCGATCATTTTCCCATTTACGGCACAGGACTCCATCCTGAATCAGCAAGCTGCCCCATTGGGCCCAATAGCTTTTCGTGGTCGAACTCATTGCTGAGACTTCGCTCCACTTGGGCTTAGGAGCACTGGCCTTCATCCATTCCAGAATCGGCTTAATGTCTGAATCTTCCTGCTGTGCATGTTGTACGCTATCCTTCCATTCATTGCTGAGCTGGTCTGTCCTGAGTATCCTCACAGATACCACTTCCTTACCCTTTTGCCTAGTACGATGCTTGCAATCTTCGAGGCAAGGTCTTCTTGACAATGCATCTGCTTTGCTATGAGATTTCCCGCTGCGATGTTCGATCACAAAGTCGTATTCCTGCAAAAGTTCAATCCATCTCGCAACTTGTCCTTCCGGATTTTTGAACTGCAATAGCCATTTCAGTGCAGCATGGTCAGTTCGTAAGTAGAATTTCCGCCCTAGAAGATATTTGTTAAAATGATGCAAGTACTTTACCACAGCAAGCAATTCCCGTCTTGTGACACAATAGTTCCTTTTCGGCTTTGACAACGACTTGCTGAAGTACGCTATCACAATCTTTTGATCACCATTCCGTTGAGACAACACACCGCCAAGTCATATATCACTTGCGTCTGTGTTAACTATGAATTCCTTGCCCGCATCAGGGTACCCCAAAATAGGTGTTTTGCACAGACGGTTCTTGAGCTCCTGGAATGCAATATCGCAACTTTCATCCCAGCAGAAATGTCGCTTCTCCTCGGTTAGCTTGTGCAGAGGTTTGGCTATATCTGCAAAGTTCTTCACAAATGGCCGATAATAAGAGTACAAACCCAAAAATGCAATTTCAACGTGCCAGTAGCCACTTTTCAGGTCCAGCGTACTAAACCACTTTACGCCTGTAAGCATGTCCAGCGTGTCATCAATTCTTGGCAAGGGATAGCTGTCCTTCTTCGTAACGTCGTTCAGGCGGCGGTAGTCAACACAAAACCGCATGCTGCCGTCCTTCTTCTTTACCAGCACCACAGGTGAACACCATGGACTAGATGAAGGTTCAATAACACCATCCTTCACCATTCCCTCAATCATGGTTTCCACTTCCTTTTCACGTGCTACAGTCAATCTCCTTGGCCGCTGACGAATAGGCAATTCTTCTCCTGTGTTTCTTTTGTGTTGAACTAAGCCAGTCTTTCCTATGTCAGCTTCGTTTGACGAGAAAACATTGGCGTACTTGAGTAACAACTTCTTTGCCTTGACCATTTGATTCGGGGAGAGAACGCTGCGACAGTCTTCTAAAAGTGTGGTCACTCTCGTTTGTCCATCCTTGCTCGGGGTCCCAGTCGATAGATATTCGCACCGACGCAACCAATCCACTTCATCAATAGTACCAACCAATGTGCCTTTTTCTATAATCTGTTCCTGATCACAAAGGTTCAACACACGTACTCCTGAGATGTCGGTGGTTCTGACCAAGGTTCGAGCCACTTTCCATGGAAGGTCATTGTCTACCCTTTCCACGAGTACACAACGATGATCTTGCCCATGACTCCGAGGAAGACTAACCGGCACAATCGTTTCCGATCTCGGCGGAAGAACAATCTTCTTCTAGGCTGTACACATTCCCCGGTAACGCCCCTTCCACGAAAAGTTCCTCTTGTCCACATTTCAAAACACCTTGCTTAACGTCGATCTCACAACAATTCTTCCTCATAAAGTCTAGGCCCACGATGCAGTCGGCCATTATATCAGATACGATGACATTATGCAGGTAGTTCATGTTGCCTAGCTTCAACTCCATCTCCTTCTCTCCACGAACGGGTATGCGCTGACCGGTGGCTGTCACCAAATTAATGCGTTCGCGGTTGTATGCGGAGTCCCCAAGGAACTGACTTATAAGTTGTGAACTGATAACCGTGCGAGAGGCTCCAGTGTCTATGATCAGTTTACACGGTGTTCCGTTGACCTCGCCCTTGATGATCAGGCTGTTCCCATCACGGGTTTGTGGGATCGAAATCCTTGGCTCTCTTTTAACATCCGCCAGCACCCGCCAGTTTCCCTGCTGCTGCTGAGCGGTGCTGTTAGCCACACTACCCTCTCGAGATCGATCACCTTCCCTTTCTACAGTTCATTTAGGGCAGCTGGGTCGAAGATGGCCCCTTTCCCCACAGCCGTAGCACCTACGGTTGTAGCCGTTGTTGTGGTCACGAACTGTAGCTGCTGCAACCTCCCTGACGCGGTGGGAATGATGATTCTGCCGCACGGCTTGCACCTCCAGTGCATGGGTCAAGGCGTTCTTAAGCGTCTCGTGGTGCCCGAGCCTCACAGCAGCTCTGACTTCAAGGTCGCGGGTGCCGTCGATGAATGTCTGCACCAAGTTCCCTACAATGAGCGCAGGTACAGACTGGTATGCTTTTCGAACCAGTTTCTCCACCTCAAGGGCCCACTGCTGTAGGTTTTCATTACTGCGTTGCACGCGATCTTTGAGCTGTGCACGAAAGATGTGTTCCAGGTGAGCGTCGCCATATCTCGCCTCCAACGCCTCAAGGAGCTGCTCGTAAGTCACTTCCTTACCGAGAGCTTCCAGAACAGATAAGGCCTGGTCACGCAGGCCTAGGGTAAGAGCAGTCATAGCCTGACTTTTATTCCAGTCGTTCGCCTTCATGACGGCCTCGAAATGGATTTTGTAGGCCGACCAGGAAGAAGTGCCGTCAAATGGCGGCACTTTGAATCCACGTAGCGAAGGTGTTGTAGCGACCACGGGAGCTGTAACTCTATCCCCAATTTTGAGGTTGTCCAGCGTTTTCTTCACGTCAACAATCACGTTGTCAACCCGATTGTTCACTTGGTCGATTCGGTTTTTAGCTTCTGACAGGCGGTTGTCATGTTGAGCACCCTATCCTTCACCTCCCTTATCTCTTTACCGAAGGTAGCGTGAAGGTCCTTCGTGAGAAGAAGCTGCTATTCCAACCGACGGCCCTGTTCCTCCTGTTGACGGGCCTGTTCCTCCTGTCCGCGCTGCAGCTGCTCTTCCAACCGACGGGCCTGTTCCTCCTGTCCGCGCTGCAGTTGCTCTTCCAACCGACGGCCCTGTTCCTCCTTTCGGCGGGCCTGTTCCTCGTGATGGCGAGCCTGATCCTGCAACATCATCATCAGAGCACCTAAGTCAGGTGCTGCAGATGCAGGAGCTGCTGGCGGGCCGGCCTCCGTGGTCAGCATCTAGCTCTCTGACGTTTGCGACGTTACATTACCAAATTGTCTCTGGTCCACCTCCAGCTGGCGTTGACTTCGGGTACGCATACCCTCCATGTCATCCTTTGGTAAAATCGGCATGATTTGATCCTACTTCTGACACCAATTGTTACGAGCTTGAGGTTCGAGACAATTAAAAACTGCCGATTGAATTACCAAAATTGACACTTTAATTCATCATCATCATCATCATTACAGCCCTTCACAAGTCCACTGCTGAACATAGGCCTCCCCCAAAGAATGCCACAAAGCACGGTCCTGAGCCACCTGCATCCATCGACTTCCTGCATGTCTTACCAGGTCGTCACTCCATCTCGTGGGGGGACGCCCTACACTTCGCCTACCGGTACGAGGCTGCCACTCGAGAACCTTTCTTCCCCATCGGTTGTCGGTTCTTCGAGCTATATGGCCGGCCCACTGCCACTTCAGCTTACTAATCCGTTGGGCTATGTCGGTTACTCTGGTTCTACTGCGGATATCCTCATTCCTAAGTTTATCACGCAGAGAAACTCCGAGCATAGCCCTCTCCATAGCTCGCTGAGCGACCTTGAGCTTCCTCATACGGCCAGCAGTGAAGGACCACGTCTCAGTTCCATAAGTCATTACTGGCAACACGCACTGGTTGTACAATTTCGTTTTCAGGTTTTGAGGTATGTCTGACGAGAAGATGTGTCGTAGCTTCCCGAACGCTGCCCAGCCGAGTTGAATCCGTCGATTGACCTCTCGGTCGAAGTTGGACTTACCTAGTCGGACTATTTGTCCCAGGTAAACATACTCGTCAACAACTTCGAGTTTAGTGTTCCCAACAACTACCGGCATAGGTGTGACATGGACATTAAACATGATCTTTGTTTTGTCCATGTTCATCTTAAGACCTATCCGTTGGGAAACACTATCGAGGTCATTGAGCATAGTGCTTAGGTCCTCCAGCGATTCTGCCATAAGGACTATATCGTCGGCAAATCGAAGGTGAGTGATGTACTCGCCATTGATGTTGATACCGTATCCTTTCCAGTTCAGAAGCTTGAAACTTACTGACACTTTAATTACACAACACTAATTACAATCTAAAATCACACTAATATTAAAACACAGTTCGCCGTTATTTCGCTTCGAAGTATTCTCTTGTATCGCCAATTCAATACTGCCTCGGTCGTGGTCTATACCGGCCTTATATAGGGCCTCAGATAGTTTCCA